CTCCTCCTCCTCCTCTCTCTCTCTCTCTCTCTCTCTCTCTCTCTCTCTATTTTTATCTCTCTCTCCTAAAAAATACAACACTTATTATAATAAATCTTAGAAAATTTAAAACAAGAAAAAACTTGACATGCGTTATTCACCATGACATAACGACGTCTTTCCGATTCTGTATTGAGATCGAGAACTGCGTCAACATCAATATCAATACTGTCCTGAATTAATTAATAAGAACATACTGGATGCATAAATTAAATATTTTATTTTTTTCATTCATCTTAAAGATTAACTGTAAGATTAACTTGTGATAAGATAAGAGTGATAAAGTATAGAATGTTTGTTTTTTTGTAACTTCAATGATATTTAATAATCTATAATTTCTTCAAACAATTTAAGAATAGCAAACTTCTCGGAATTAATTTTTAATACTTTTTCCTCTTATTCAAAAAAGATATTTTTGTCTCAAAATATTTGATATAATCAAGATGTGAAAGAATAATAACAACCAATCTGAAGAATAACATCCCACAATTAATATATGAATTGAATTGCTTTTTAATTATATAAGATCAGGAATATCATTTGACAGGATGAATGAAACTGTTCGTAATCCGGAATTCTAATCATGTATTTCCGAATGAAGTAATGCTAACAAAATATTAAATTATTATTGGGAAATTATGGAACAAATTTGACCGTAGCAGCTTTATAAAGCTCGTTCAGTTGATCATCAATCCAGTTTTCCACATTCATTCGTTTCTTAATTAGCATCATTTGATGTTTACCATATTTCATCGTTAGCATACGACTTCGTTCATTGGTCTACAAACTAATCATTCAGGCATAATTTAATTGCACTAATTTAAAATTCATTGTACTTAAAAAAAACAAACAAAATTAAGGGAAGAGGGGAATTCTTTCTTAATTAAACTAATTAATCTTCTCAACTTTTTCCCCTTTTTTTAAGAGTTTTTTTTTTTCGAATGACAAATTTTTGCGACCATTTATAGCCTATAATATTGCTGTCATGGCTATGCTTCGCAAACGAAGAAAGATATATGTGCCCATAATATAACCATTGGTAATCAGACATACATCATTAGTGTAAATGGAATTAATTTAATTAGCCTTCAATTTGAAAATTTCTAGCAGATTATTTTTAAATAAATTTGATTGGAGAGAAATGAAGGACCAGAGAGAAAGGGAGACAGAGAGAGAGAGAAAAGGAGAGGAGAGAATTCTTTATACATGCATATTTTGAAAGTGAAATTTTACACAAAATAAAATTTAAATTTAAACTTTAAGCTTGCATTTAGAAAGCATAATAGAATGTATGTAAGCATAAAGATTAGATTATTACACATTAATTTTTGCAACATTCAAAATTTATACAATTGAAGGGAAAGCAAGATTTACAGAAAAGTTCACCACAATTTTTTAAATTTTGTTTCCCAAAAAGAAAGTTAAATTTTTCATTCGGTTGAAATTTCTGTCGTTCATTTTATTATTCACTTTAATAACTACTTATAACAATAAAGACTTTTTTTTTGTATATTTAATAACAACTATATGCATCAATGTATTGAAATTTATTTTAACACCAATTCAGGACTGTTTTGAGTGACTATGAAGTAAAGTAAAAGTATTTAGAAGGTACATCTCCCTAGATATTTGTTGGTTTTAGAAAAAATTCTCGAAATTGAAAATGTAAAACGAAATGAACGAAAAGGAAGAAAAACATTTCGTGATAACTTTATTCATTTTCGGCTTTTTTCTCCCTTATTTTTGTGCAAATTTTCTTTCAATTTCTTATTTTGTTAAAACTTATCAAATGCTTCTTCATCATATAAGAGAAGACAAAAAATTACTTTGAAGAAAATAAATTAAATTGCCTTTTAACATTCCAATATTTTCCAGACAATTTTGTAGCCGTTAAATGTAAAGTTGTAATAGCTTAACGAAAAAAAAAGTTTTCAAAGTTAGATTTTTAAATTGAGTTGTGACAAATTTTATTGAAAATAGACGCAAAACATTTGCCAGTTACAAAATGCTTTTGTTAGCAATTAAAAATTTGAACACCGTTAGTGAATATTATATCCGAGTAGTATTTCTGGATTGGGTCTACCGTCTTTGTAAAACTTTTCTTGGGAGATTTATCATGATAAAAGATTTCTGAAAATGTTTGATAAGCTGGATTAGTTGCACCGATTAATGATTTTATTAACATTCAAATAATATTTCAGTTTTAAGTTCATTCGTAGAAATCTTCTTATTTCAAAAATAAAGTTAAAATCATATAATTCAAAAAGTATGAAAATTTCAAAAAAACCATCACCACTATATACGTTCCGATCAAGTGAATGATATAAACATATGATTCGATATTATATAATTTAAATTTATGAATTTCATAATGTGAACATATAAACGTACAAATGTGTGTATTACTATAAATATATAAACAATGCATAATTATTTCTGATCCAAAAATAGTTCAATAATTTTTGTTCTTCCCATGGTATCTCTTCATGGAATTATTACAACTTCAATCTGTTAATTTCATTGAATCATTCCAAATGTAAATAAAAATGGTAAGCGATGAAAAAAAAATTGCTTCCACTTCAATGAATAAATAAAAATTAATAGAAAGACATTATTTCGAAAAACTAAAAAAATCTTTTCGTCATTTGATTTCTTTCTCTTTTCATTAGATGATTTAATTTTGAGTAATTTTTTTTGCTTGAATTTTAACTTTTAGAAATGGTCGTAAGATTTGAAACAAATATTCGGCAAGGTTAGGAAAGGAAACGTTGCAAAAAGTTTCTCTCGTAATTTAATAGTCATATAAAGTGATTTTGAATATATTCGATCAAATGGACGAAAATAGATCAAATAGTAATATCGATTGATGATAACATCGATTTAGGTCTTAATTTTTTGAAATACGAATATTTAAATGTTTAGGAACGCTTTTCAAAATTCGCGAAAAAAATTAAAATTACATGCATGTGAAATTACGAATCAATCAATAACTGATCCCGAACTATTGCATATTTAGTTGTGAATATCTTTTTTTGTCCTTTTTTGCAGCTTTTTCAGCTATGTTTTCGAGAATTTAAAATTGAAAAAATCACAATTAACAAAATTAATTTCTTCGATATTTGCAATATTAGCATGAAATTTGCGCCCATAAAGATATGAAAATATTGAATTAATATTAAATTCAAGTTTAAAAGCAGTAAAAATTTAAATCAAATTCTTAAATACGTGAGAAATTGTGAGATAATCTATGAAAGAGGATTTAAATTACATGAAAAAAGTTTGGAAGAAAAAAGCGATACCTTTTTGATTTTTTGATCATTGAAATGGGCATGTTTTGCAATATTTTCTGCCATTCCTCGTTGCACTTTAATAGATCTATCAGAATAGCTTACAAATTTTAAGATTTAAAATTTAAAAGGAGAAGTTTCGAACAGTTGCCTCTTTTTCCAACCCAAATTTCGAACAGATGTTTGCTTATCAGCAAAATATTGCCAAATGGTTTCAAATGCCTGAAGGTAAAATCAAATTGATGAATTATATTAAAAAGGTGTAAGATTATCGATGATAACACTTGTTAAAATGAGAATTTCCAGTCGCTCCTACATATAAATGAACATTTATTTAAAGCAAAAAAAATTTTCCCAAACAAAATTATCATAAAATAATCAATTGATAAGGGATTTTGAAGGATATTTTCATTTAAGAAGCTAAAATTGTTTAATTTTTGCTGCTGTTATAACCATTTAAGGGAAGAATTATTTCCTTAAAAGTCATTGAAAATACATTTGATTGATATCAATGTCGGCATATTTCAAAAAAAAAAAAAACGGAAGAGAAGATTTTTTGGTGAATGAAATGAAATATTTGATTTGATTGATTAAAGAGACAGTTTTTGATTACAAATAGCAATTATACACAAATAATAGAAATGGAATGAAATGAGAAAAATATGAAGCTTATTTGATCTTTTTCTTGGCTAATGAATGAAAAAATATTTGGTAATTGTCGAGAGAATACCAAAATGAATGATTGATTAGATCAATTTGATCTAATCAATATTTTTGCTTTCTGAAACAATTTTCCTATTTGTTTTAAATAGCTCTAAACTAATGTCAATATGCCACCATCACTAGCTTCGATAAAGGGAACGGGAAGTTGTTGGAATCGTAGTATGAATGGATGTGTGTGTGCGTGTGTGTGTGTATGTGTGTGTGTGTGTGTGTGTGTGCATGTATGTATATATTATATGTGTGTCTTTCTCTCTCCCTCTCTCCCCCTCTTTCTCTCTCTCTCTCAGACCATCATTAAACCTTGAAGCAATTTTGAACATATTAAGAAAGAGAGAGAGGGAGAAAAAAAACGGTATTTTAATCAATGGCAGTATGAATTGTTTTTTTTTTTTTTTGATATCATTCGATATCAATTATATTATACCATTACTGGAGAGAGAAATGATTAGATGTGATAATAAATTGAAGATTGAAGTTGAAAATGTTCATAATGATACGCATATTCTTTTATGACCTTATAATATCACAAAACATCAATGATAACTGATCATAGAAGGATAGTAATAAGTGATAATTGGTCATTGCAATGATAAATGATCGTATAAGATGAATGATGTCATAATGGTCATTCATAATGGATTGCAACTCATTTTTATGGGTTGATGAAATTTCAGAATACCGGTTAAAAATTTCAGTTGATAATTTTATGCATGTTAATCATCTCATTTATTGCCAATGTAAATGCCATCATTTATTACTGATATAAATAATTGCGTTGCCTTTTTTTTTAATAGGCTACCTTTTTCCGTTCTTTCATTTTAATCTATTCCAAAAATATTCCTTATTTCATATTTTCAAATTTTTCATCAACGAAAAATTTTATACAGTGAAATATCATATGTGCACCATATACAGTGAAAATTATATGCAGTGAATTATATAGAGTTATACATAGGGGAAGTTAGGCAAGATGAATAAATTCTAATGATAACAATGGTGATGATAATATTTTAAATTTTGAAATGCTTGGAAAATCAAACGATGACAATAAAAAATGATGTTTAAATTTTAGACAATAACTGTCGAATAGTAAGCAAACAGAGAAAAAGTCGGTAAACCATTACAACAAAGTATATTGGATGTAAATTCATTCATGCACGCATTTAATTTTTTTATATTCCACCTAAAATCCATATATATGAACACTTATCTTACTTATTATTTCAATAAAATTGCTGTATAAGAAAGGAAAACTGAAAGAAATTCAAAGTAAGAAGGTTAAATTTAATACTATTTTCTTCTATTTATTCTGCTTTATTTGTGATGCTTCAAAGTAAGGCGAATAAAATATCCTGATCATCTGAAACAATTAAAGCTGCTAATTCTACCAAATTTTGCTTCATCATCGATGAGTTGATGAATCATTTGGTGATATTTTAAAAATACCTGAAACAAAATATTGATGATAGTAATAACGATGACAAGACGAGAGGAGTATTATTTTGAATAATAACAATAGTGTAGATAATAGTAATAATGATGGTATAAACAAATTGACAACAGCAACAATGATTAGGATGATTTAACAACGATAAATGATAGTGATGGTGAATTTGGTGATGATAACGGTAATGAGGACATAGCTCGATGATAATAGCGATCAGCAAATGGTAACATTGTTGCTAACTGCAATGATATAATAGTCGGTAACGAC